ATCTTACTGAAGATAATTCAAAAATGGTTGCAGCAGTATATTGACAGAGAACTTCCAGAGGTGCAGGCTGGATTCAGAAGAGGACGTGGAATAAGGGATATCATTGCTGATGTCAGATAGATCTGGGCTCAAAGCAAAGAATACCAGAAAGATGTTTACTTGTGTTTTATTGACTATGCAAAGCATTTGATTGTGTGGATCATAACAAATTGTAGATAACATTGAGAAGGATGGGAATTCCAGAACACTTAATTGTGCTCATGAGGAACCTGTACATAGATCAGGAGGCTATTATTCAAACAGAAAAAGGGAACACTGAATAGTTTAAAATCAAGAAGGGAGTGCATCAGGGTTGTGTCCTTTCACCATACTTATTCAATCTGCATGCTGAGCAAATAATCCAAGAAGCTGAACTATATGAAGAACAACGTGGCATCAGGAGTGGAGGAAGAATCATTAACAACCTGCAATATGCTGATGACACAAGTTTTTTTGCTGAAAGTAACGATGACTTGAAGTACTTACTAATGAAGATTGAAGAATAGTCTGCAGTATGGATTACATCTCAATATGAAGAAAACAAAAATCCTCACAACTGGACCTATAAGCAGCATGATGATAAATGGAGAAAAGATTGAAGTTGTCAAAGACTTCACATTACTTGGTTCTACAATCAACGCCAATGGAAGCACAGTCAGGACATCAGACGATGTATAGAACTGGGCAAATCGGCTGCAAAGGACCTCTTTCAAGTGCTGAAGAGGAAAGATGTCTCCTTGAGGACTAAGGTGCACCTGACACAAACCATGCTATTTTCAATCACCTTATATGAATGTGAGAGCTGGACAATGAATAAAGAGGACGGAAGAAGAGTTAATGCTTTTGAGCTGTGGTGCTGGTGAAGAATGCTGAAAAGTACCATGGACTGCTAAAAGAACTAACAGGTCTGTCCTGGAGGAAGTGCAGCCAGAATGCTCCTTGGAGGCGAGACTGGCCAGACTTCGTCTTACATACTTTGGTCATGTTGTCAGAAGGGACCATTCTCTGTAGAAGGATGTCATGCTTGGTAAGGAGGAAGGTCAATGAAAGAGGGGAAGTCCCTCAACAAGGTGGATTGACATGGTGGCGGTGGTGATGGGCTCAAGTGTAGCAAGGATCGTGGAGGTGGCTCAGGACCGGACAGTGTTTCGTTCTGCTGTGCATGGGGTCGCTATGAATCAGAGACATGACGCGATGGCACTTAACAACAACAACAACAACAACATTCTATGGTCCTTTCTAGTTCTGGAAGTTTATATTGTCCTCAGCATTTTCTTCCCTAGTTCTTTATCCTGGGGTTGTAAAGCAGTTTTCTGTCTTTATATTTTTTAAAGAAGAGGAATCATTTGAAAATTGAGAGTCATCCCAAAGAAATGTGGGCATACAGCTTTCTTGGGAAACTGGAATATCTGGCAGCACCATCCCCATTCCTGCTTGGACCACTGGCTAGAGCTGAGCAAGAACCTGCTCTGTAGTTCACCAGTGCTCCAACTGGCAGCTCTGCTCACATATGCTCCTGGCCTGGCTCCTAGGAACATGTGTGTTTTCCACTTCCTAGAGCTAAGTGATGAAGCCCTGGTGGGCCAGTGGTCAAGTGCTCACCTGCCAACCAGAAGGTTGGTTGTTCAAACCCACCAGACACTCCACAAGATACTTCCATAAAGATTTACTTACAGCCTTGGAAACCCTAAGAGGCAGGTCTATTCTGTCCTATAGGGTTGCTATGAGTCAGAATTGACTCAATGGCAATGGGTTTGGTTTTGGTTTAGTGCACTCCTTATCTTCACTTCTTGCCCACCCCCATCGGGGTGCACAGGATAAGAAAAGCAGCACTCTTGCCAGTCCAAACACCTACTCACTGTGCAACCTCCAGGTCTCTTTCCTTTTTGGGGTCTCAGTTTCTTTTTCTCTATAGTGGGTGGGTTGGAGCAGATGACTGCTGAGGTCCTTTTGACTTGAAACCCTGTGGTTCCAGTTGGGGTTTGCCACTAATGGTTCTGCAAACAACTTCTTTCCTACCTTCAACCTGTAACATATGGCTGATGGGCTGAAGCTGGGCCAAGAAGCAGAAACCGAGATAAGGGCAGCCTGAGTCCTGAGTAACAGCCCTGGAAAAATAAAGGGAAACTGACAACCCAGGGAAGGCGGGGAGGTAGGAGGCCCATCGCCAAGCAGCAGGCAGTTTCTTGGTCACGTGACCAGCTGCATAATTTCCAGGGCCAGCATGAATTCAAAATGCAGGTCCTCTTGTTCAACAGCTATTAAGAATTTCAAGACGGTGATAGCTGAGCATGAAGCCAAGAGTAGAGGACTTCTAAACACAGAACCTGCACAGGTTGTATGCCCATGAAGCTGGTCCTGCCTGCGCCCCAGGACACAGTGCTACAGGATGGCTTTTCCTTGCTCTTGCAGGTTTGTGGAATCCCAAGGGAACCCTGCATCTGACCCCCTGGTGCTCTGGCTGAATGGCGGTCCCGGCTGTAGCTCCATGGAGGGAATTCTGGCAGAGAATGGGCCCTACCGGGTGAGACAGAGAGAATGGGCCCTACTGGGAGCAATACTGGGATGGGCAGGAGGGACAAATGCCATCTGGCCTCATTTTACCTTGATGATCCAAGCCAGAGCTGAGGTGAGAGCTCCTGAGGGGCTCTGCCAGATGGACTAGTACCAGGAGGTGGGGGCTGGGGACAAGGCAGATTCAGGCCTTTTGAGTCAGAGGCCAGCAGGGCGTTAGAAGAGTAAGCAGCTCAGCATGGCGGAAAAGCTCTGAGCTGGATTCAGACCTGGATTGTAGCCCATGTCACCTTGAGCCTATGACTCCTTTTCTCTGGGTCCCAATTCCTTCATTGATCTATTGCCTTGTGGACCTTTTAGGATCAGGTAAGTAAAGTTCTATGGAAAGGAAACCATCCCAAACATTACTAAAAACTACAGTCAGCTCACACACTTGGATCAGTGAGAGGTCATGCACATCCCATCTCCAACACCTCTCAGGGCTGTGGGAGCTTGGGCAAGTTACTTAACCTCTGCAGGCCTTAGTTTCTTCAGCTGTGAAAGGAGCAATAATATTAGTGTGGTGAGGATTTATATCACTTAGGAAAGGAAGTTTAGCATAGTATGTGCTGTGGAAACAGATCAACTGGTTCAATCAGTGGGCTCTGCCACTTACTAGCTATGTGACCTTAAGCAAGTAAACCTGTCGGGCCTGTTTTCTCATAACAATAATAATAGAACATATTACAAAAGTTGCTGTGAAGAACAAGAAGGTAATTTCCATAGTGTACTTAACACAGTACTTGGCAGATATTGCTTATAATAATCCTGTTATTTCCCACGATGCCCTTCCTCTCCCAAGGGCCTAGGAAAAAACAGTGCCAGTCAGGGGCAATTTTGGGTGGGGTTCAGGAAGAAAACCCTTTGCAAAGTTTGGCTTTAAATCAGAATACCCTGTGCTGCTCTGGAGGTTGAAGGGTTCTCTCTAGAGAAGATTTAGAGAGACTAGTGAAAAAGAAGCTTGCCTGGCCTTCCTCCTAGAATGCCAGCAAGATGGTCTGCAGCCAGGTGCTCCCTGACTTGGGCACCTATTACTTCTGCCCCTCCCTCACTGCTATCTTAGCAGGAGGCACCGGCAAGAGCCCCTGCGAGCACTGCCGTCAGCCCCATTGTTGCCTTTGGTCCCTGCAGCCCACAGGATGCCTGTCCATCTCCCTCCTCCACAGATGAATGCTGATGGAACACTCTACATGAACCCACACAGCTGGAACCTGGTGGCCAATGTCTTGTACCTGGAGTCCCCTGCTGGAGTGGGTTACTCCTATTCTCTCAGTCAGAACTACCAGACCAATGATCAGGAGGTGAGTGGTCAGGCCATTCGAGGCAGGGACAGAGAAGAGGGAAGGGACAGAAAAGGAACTGGAAGGGAGGGAAGCAAGATGGAGAATGAGAGAGAAGATAAGAGAGAGAGGGATTGAGGGAGGGGAGAGGGTGGGGGAAGGAGGATAGACAGAAAGAAGAAAAGGAAAGGAAAGGAAAAAGGGATATTGGAAGAAGGAAAGAAATGCCTTATGTCTTCTTAGACCAGAAAATGCAAACTGGTGGCCTGAGGCTGCATTCACTCAGCCCATGGCATCTTTGCTTTGGCCTGTAAAGTGCATGGGAGGAAAAACTCAGATTTTAGTTGCCACTATTTGGAAGATTTCACTCAAAAATTCAGATTACTGGCTCTGTTGAAAGTCAACCCTGGGAACACCATTGTAGAGCTGAAGAGAAGCAAGGGTGGGGTGGATTTAGAAGGCCATGCATCTTCCACTTGATGTCATACCACAACTTGTCTGGTTTTCAGTCATTAGTGTTCAGTGTGTCAAATCTCTTCTTGAGATGGTCTCTAAATTCAGATGGGATATACTCATGGTCATATTTTGACTCTTGTGGACTTGTTTTAATGTTCTTCAATTTCAACTTGAACTTGCATATGAGCAATTGATGGTCCATTCCACAGTTGGCCTCTGGCCTTGTTCTGAGCAATGACACTGAGCTTCTCCATCATCTCTTTCCACAGATGTAGTCGACTTGATGTTTATGTATTCCATCCAGTGAGGTCCATATACACAGTTGCCAATTACATTGTTTTAAAAGGGTGCAATGAATAAGTAGTTGGTCTTGCAAAATTCTGTCATGAGATCTCTGGAGTCATTTCTATCAGGAAAGCTATATTTTCCAACTATTGATCGTTCTTTTCTTCTAACATTCGCATTCAAATCACCAGCAATTATCAATGCAACTTGATTGCATGTTTGATCAATTTCAGACTGCAGAAGTTGGTAAAAATCTTTAATTTCTTCATGTTTAGCATTAGTGGTTGGTGAATAAATTTGAGTAACAGGTATATTAATGATCTTCCTTGTAGGTATATGGATAGTATCCTATCCCTGACAGCACTGTACTTCAGAACAGATCTTGAAATGTCCTCTTCACAATGAATGTGATGCCATTCCTCTTCACTTTGTCATTCCCAGTATCATAGACCATATATTTTTTCCAATTCATAGTGACCAACACCAGTCTATTTCAGCTCACACTAATGACTCAAATATCGATCTTTACATGTTCTATTCATTTTTGAGAGCTTCCAGTTTTCCTAAATTCATACTTCATGCATCCCACATTCCACTTATTAATGGCTATTTGTAGCTGATTTTTTTTTTAAACCATTTTGAGTCATTTGTTGCTATATCAGCAAATGTAAGTGCTGATGTATGTTTATCCCATCCATGTTATTAAGTTCAACGTAATTTAAGGTGGCAGCTCTTCCCCAGTCACACTCTGAGAGCCTTCCAACCTGAAAGGCTCATCTTCTGGCGCCGTAACGGATGAAGTTCCACTGTTCTTCATAAGGCTCTCACTGGCCAATTGTTCAGAAGCTGATTGCCAGGTCCTTCGCCCCAGTCTGTCTCAGTCTAGTGGCTCTGCTGTAATCTGTCTACCATGGGTGACCTGCTGTTATTTCAAAAAGCTGGCATAGCTTCCAGCATCACAGCAACATGCAAGCCACCTCAGTATGACAAACTGACAGATGAGTGGTTGCAGGACAGAGGAAGGAAGCATTATTTTCCCTTCTCTGTCTGCCCCTAGGTTGGGTTTGGGGCTCCTTGAGTCTACAATAGAAGCCAGAAACCCAAACTTGGAACTAGGCAGGGAGCATGTATGGGTGAAATAGATGAGATAGCAGGACAAGGAGGGGAGAGTGGATTCTACGGACAAAATACTGAATGATGCAGGAAGCATCAAAACAAGATGGAAGGAACACATAAAGTTACTGTATCAAAAAGCATTGGTCAATGTTCAACCATTTCAGGAAATAGCATATGATCAAGAACCGATGATATTGAAGAAAGAATTCCAAGCTGCACTGAAGGCATCATTGCAAAACAAGGCTCCTGGAAGTGAAGGACTACCCATTGAGATGTTTCAACAAAGGGATGCAATTCTGGGAGTGCTCATTCATCTATGTCAAGAAATTTGGAAGACAGCTACTTGGCTAACTGACTAGAAGAGAGCCATATTTGTCCCCATTCCAAGGAAAGGTGAACTGAATGTGGAAATTATCAAACAATATCATTAATACCACAAGCAAGTAAAATTTTGCTGGAGATAATACAAAAATGGTTACAGTAGTACATCAACAGGGCACTGCTAGCAATTCAAACGCAATTCAGAAGAGGACGTGGGATGAAAGCATCACTGCTGTGATGTCAGATGGCTCTTGGCTGAAAACAGAGAATACCAGAAAGATGTTTAGTTATGTTTTATTGACTATGCAAATGCATTAGACGGTGTGGATCATAACAAATTATGGAAAACATTATGAAGAATGGAAATTCTAGAACAACTTATTATGCTCATCTAAAACCTGTCCACAGACAAAGAGGCTGTCATTCAAACAGAACAAGGGGATACTGCATGGTTTTAAATCAGAAAAGGTGTGTATCAGGGTTGTATCTTTTCACCATACTTACTCAATTTGAATGCTGAGCAAATAATCTGAGAAGCTGGACTATACAAAGAAGAATGTGGCCTCAGGATTGGTAACCTGATAACACATTGCCATTGAGTTGATTTGGACTCATAGCAAGTCTACAGGACAGAGTAGAACTGCCCCTATGGTTTCCAAGGCTGTAAATCTTTATGGAAACAGACTTCCTCATCTTTCTCCCCTGGAGGGGCTGGTGACTTCAAACTGCCAATCTTCTGGTTAGCAGCCAAGCACTTAAACTACTGCGCCACCAGCCTCCTTATCAGGATTGGAGGAAGACTCATTAACAACCTGCAATATGCAGATGACACAACCTTGCCTGCTGAAAGCTCAGAGGACTTGAAACACTAACTGATGAAAATCAGAGACTACAACCATCAGTATGGATTACACCTCAACATAAAAAAAAAAAAAAAAAAAATCCTCACAACAGTACCATTAAGCAACATCATGATAAACAGAGAAAAGACTGAAGTTGTCAAGGATTTCATTTTACTTGGATCCACAATCAGCACCCACAGAGGCAGCAGTCAAGAAATCAATGTATTGCATTGTACAAATCTACTGTGAACGACCTCTTTAAAGTATTAAAAAGTAAAAATGTCACTTTGAGGACTAAGGTACTCCTGACCCCAGCCATGGTATTTTCAATCACCTCATATGCATGTAAAAGCTGGACAATGAATGAGGAAGACCAAAGAAGAATTGATGCGTTTGAATTACAGTGTTGGCAAAGAGCATGAAATATATCATGGACTGCCAGAAAGAACAAATCTGTCTTGGAAGAAGTGCAGCCAGAACATTCCTTAGAAGCAAGGATGGGAGAGTTTGTCTCATGCACTTAGAACATGTTATCAAAGGGACCAGTCCCTGAAGAAAGACATCATGCTTAGTAAAGTAGAGGGTCAACAACAAAAAGGACGACCCTCATCGAGATGGACTGACACGGTGGCTACAACAATAGACTCAAACATAGCAGCAACTGTGAGGATGGTGCAGGACTGGGTAATGTTTTGTTCTGTTGGACATAGGGTTGCTATGAGTTAGAACCACCTCAACAGCACCTAACACCAACAACTTCTATGATGGGAAAGCTGAACAGACTACTGTTTAAATCAGACTGTCAGGGTTCAGATCCAAGTTCTGCCATTTCCCAGATGTACTTTACTCTATTTCAGGTGCAGTGCCACACTAAGGGGAAACAGTGGTGAGCATGGCAGCCCAGTCACTGTCCTCACAGAGCTTACAGTCTAGTGCAGAAGACACATTGAAGAGGTCACCACAAGCATGAAGAGTAGGGGAGATACAGGAGCGTGGGAGCACAGATCAGGGAGATCTCCATCACCTGCGGCATCAGGAAGAGCTTTTTGGAGGAAGGGCAGTGCAGGCAGAGGGAGCAGCAGGCAATGGTAGGAGAAGTGAAAGCTGCATGTTTCCATGTTCATGATGCCTGAGACACTGGAGCATCCCATTGGATAGGAAGAGTGGCAAGAGATTGGACTAGTGAGCTCTGCAAGGCTCAATCACGGAGGGTTGTATAAGCCACATTAGGGTTAAGTGCATTAGGACACTCTTGAAGGGTTTGAAGTTGAGGAATGCCACTGTGACCAAACTGGCCTTTGGGTTCAGTGAGGGTATGGGCCAGAGAAGGGAAGAGTTGAATTGAGGAAGACCAGCAAAAAGATGATCTCTTTCAGCTCTTGGCCAGTGTAGGGTAGGTTGTCTATGACTCACTCCCATCTTGACCAGCTCCTTGGGCCCCATTTCCTCTCCGTTCAGGTGGCTGCTGACAACTACCAGGCGCTGTTGAGCTTCTTTGAAAAGTTCCCCACATTTGCCAACCATGACTTCTATGTCTTCGGAGAAAGCTATGGGGGTGTGTACGTCCCCTCCCTGAGTGCACAGATTGTCCAGGGTTCATTTGCCACCAACTTCAAGGTAAGTATCAGGCCTTCCCTGGCTTAGGAGAGCCAAACACCAGAAGTGGCTGAAAATCCTTATCCTTTGCTTCAAGGACCTTCTTTCCTTCCTTTATTCCAGTGAATGCCAGTCACTGACCTGGCACTGAGGACATGGTGGGGACCAAGACAGACATGATCTCCGCCTTTATGGAGCTGAAGTTCTAGGTGTGGGGGGGAAATAGATAAGAAACATGCATACACATATATAAACTAGGCCTTGTAGGAGAATGTTAACAGCTGTGAAGGAAGTGACTAGAATAAGGGCACACTTTAGACAGCAAAGGAGCTCTGCTGGTACAATGGTTAAGCATTCAGCTGCTAATCAAAGGTGGGTGGTTCGAACCCACCTTTGCTGTACCATGGGAGAAAGATGAGGCAGTCTGCTTCTGTAAAGAAACCCTATGGAGCAGTTTTACTCTGTCGTAAAGGGTTACTCTGAGTCGGAATTGACTTGATGGCAGTGGGTTTGGTTTTGGGGAGTTAGACAGTGGGGTTGGAAAGCCTTCCTGAGAAGGAGTGGGATGAGCTGAATCAGGAGAAGGGGCTGTATGAAGAGTTGAGAGAAGAATGATCTAGACAGAGAGGAAAACAAGAGCAAGACGGTAGCAGAACAACGCTGCTGTCAGGTATCGAGCAGGAGGAAGGAGGCCACAGAGCTAGGGCACAGTGAGCAAGAGAACAGGGGAGAGTCAGATCATGGGGGCCCTGTAAGCAATGGGGATCATTTGGGACTTTATAAGAGTATATAGGCAGCCATGGGAGGGCTTTTAGCAAAAGGATGAGTTATGGGGGACAAGGGGAAGCATACAAGAAGGGTATGATTTATTATAGGGGTCCCTGGGTGGCACAAATGGTTTATGTTTGATTACTAACCTAAAGGTTGGTGGTTCAAATATGCCTGGTGATACTATGGAAAAAAACGCCTGGAGACCTGCTTCCATAGAGATTATAGCCAAGAAAACCACGTAGAGCAGTTGCGCTCTATAACACATGGCGCTGCCATGAGTGGGAATCGACTCACTGACAACAGGTTTGGTTCTAGGTTTAGGACCTATTGTAGTGGCCTAGGCAGAGATGATGATGGACCATGGACTAGAAAAATGAGAGGTAGAGATGGAGAGAAATGGGAGAATTTGCGAGTTTGGGAATCTTGGCTCTGTCACAGACTGGCTGTGTGGCCTTGAGCAAGCTCTTTAATCTCACTGTGCCTCATCTTTAAAATGGGAGTGTACCTAATGTCTGCCTCACAAGGTCATGGAAAAAAAGGAGATAATGAACATAAAGGGCTCAGAGCAGGCCTGGCTGCCAGTGAGCTCTCCACAGAAATAAGCCATTGCCACAGGGACCATCTGGGAGGGCTTCCCACCATTTCTTCCTCTTCTGGTTTCAGGGCTTTGGAGTGGGAAATGGAATGAGCAACTACCAACTGAACGACAATACTCTGATAGAATTCGGTTACTACCATGGACTCTTCGGTGATGAGTAAGCCCTGTTTTCTTCTAGGTCCTTATCTTTCATACCTTGTGGCATGTCTACCTCAAGGCAGCTGCACTCTGCCATCTTTAGGCCAGAGGCTGGGGAGGCCACTAGCAGGCCGACTAAGACCTATATTGACATGGGCAGGAAATGGGGTGACTGCTCACAGGCATGGCAGTGGGCCCAGAGGAAGGAAAGAGTCCCTGTCCTGGCTGCCTGACTCTGTGCTCTCTGCCCACAGCCTTTGGGCCTCCCTCAAAACCTACTGCTGCTCTGAGGGCACCTGCAACTTCTTCAACAATGAGGAGGACAATTGCTACAGTGCGGTGAGTCACCCTCTCCTTGGTGGGGGGTGGAAAGAGGGAGCCTCTCTTCACTTCAGCCACAGAGAGAAGGAAAAGAGGACACGGAGCCCAGTGCACAGTGCTGTACACACACACACACACCCTCACACACCCTCACACACACACTCCTCCTAACTCACAAAGCACTTTTCCTTCTTTGAGCCGCACTGCAACCCTGTGAGATAGGCAGATCGGTAGGACCTGCACTGTTGTTCAAAAAAAAAAAAAGTTTTTCTTTTTGCTTTTAATATTGCAAATATAATACATTGTCCTGTTAAATGAAATAAAAAAACGGAGTTGTGTGACTGGCAAAATGGTGTCAGCAGTAGACTAGACAATGCCCCCAAGATTTGTCTTTGCCAAAACATAACCCTAGCTTTCCTGTCAATCAGTCCACTCTTGGTGACCCAATGAGATTCTGACAGCTCTTCCACGGTGGTTAAGCAATGAGATGCTGACCACATTTCAACAATAAATTGTATAAGCCAGTCAAACATAAGCTTATTTTGCTTCCCGTTTTGTCAATAGGAGCTCTGGTAGCATAGTGCCTAAGGCACTTCACTGCTAACCAGAAGGCTGGTGGTTCAAACTCACCAGCCACTCCTCAGAAGGAGGATGGAGCAATCTACTTCCTTAGTGATACCACCTTCCTCAGAAACCCAAGGAGGGGTCACTATGAGCTGTCTGACTGGATGGCACTTAACAACAGTAACAACATTTTGTCAATACGAGTCAATCATCGCAGATACTTGGTGGAGCATGTTTCCACATGTGGTTTGGAATCTTCTGTCCAAATAAACCTCATCTAATAGATTAATTTTACTATTGACTGAGTTTCTTTTGATAATCTTCATTTAATAGTCAACAATATGGAAGTTTGGTGTGTTCCAAACTCAATTTTGACCTTGTGATCTACTTCTAGAAAATCAGCCACTGGAATGTGCATTATCCCTATCTTACAGACAGGAAAACAAACTACCCTAAGGCTTTCCAGCCAGTAAAAGGCAGCTTAAGGAGGAGAAGTCAGGCCTTTTGGGTCCAAGAGTAAGGGTTTGTCCCCCAGGCTGTGCAGCAACCCACCAGGCCCTTACACCTTGCCCCTTATCCTGCCTTAATCAAGACAAAACCTTACAGTCTTTGGCAAAGCACTCCACAGATAGGCCCTGATCCACATCTAAGATAACATTCACCATGGAGTCCAGGAGCGCTGCAGGAGATAGGACTGTCCTCAACTGCTCCAGCATTATTTGCTGTCATACCACCCTGTCTCCCACCCACCAGAGTGTGTGTCTCTGAATGCAAATGAGTTAGTCTAAGAGAACTCTGAACCGGCTCTGATTTCATTATAGAAATGATTTTGTACAAAAAATAAGAAAAAAAATCCCTTGAATTCTCCTTAAAACCAAACAGTACTTTACCTTAACTAGAAAAAAAAAAAAAAAGGTCTGCCTTGAGTATTATGCTCTTTTAAGAACTATCTGTATGGGCTCAAAGTGACAACAGTAACTAAAAAGGTTAGATAGAAACCTTAGGGGGCTGTGAACTAACATCAATGGAGAGAAACAACTCAGAAAAGGAGGGTGAGCATGATTGCCCAACTTAAACAATGTAATCAACCTCACTAAACTGGACGTGTAGAAACTGTTGAATTGGTGTATGTTTTGCTGTGCATATTCTCAACAACAATAAAATAGATTTAAAAAGAATTTTTAAGTGACTTGGTGCAAACTTCAGCCAAAGTAAAACAGCAGGAGGTATAAGAGGGGATGGCTGCCCAGGGCAGGGCGATGATTCTGACCATGCTCCCTGGGCTGCTCACCCCCGCCTCCAGGTCCGGATTAGTCATTGCCTGAATCCAAAAAGTGCATGGGCCTTGCCCTTTCATTTTGACCTTTGATAAAGTGTTATGTAAACAGGGAGTTAGTGCAGGTCACCAGATCTAATTTTCAAATAGGAATCAGCATTTTAGTAGTGTTTGCCAGGAGTTCCTGGATAGTGCAAACTGTTAATGAGCTCAGCCACTAACTGAAAGGTTGGTGGTTTGAGTCCAACCAGAAGCACCTGAGAAGAAAGACCTTGTGATTTACTTCTAGAAAATCAGCCACTGAAAACCCTACAGACAGTTCGACCTTGACACACAGGGGGTCGCCATGAGGTGAAGTCAACCGACGGCAGTTGGTAGTGTTTCCTGCCAAGAGGTCTGGCTGCCATGCAGCCTTCCAACATTCCTATTGTGCATGCCACGTGGAGATAGTTGGAACACTTCTAGGAGTAGGAATGGGTGAGACAGGAGGACCAAAGTCCTTGGCCCAATCTAAATGGGCCAAATAAAATAAATAAATAAATCATGAACCCTGGTCCCCAGAATATAACAGAGCCCATTGGCTTGGTGACACTAGTTAGTACTTGATAGCCCTCTTCCTTGAGAGGAGGGTTGCAGCAGTGTCCTGAGGTGTGGCATGGTTGTATCCTCACGTACAAGCTCAGGCCCACAGACTTGGCCTCAAGTTGCATACCAAAGTGATTGGGCCCTGTGACTAGAAGTACAGCAAATAAAATATACTGTGCAGCAAATAGTATATTTTCACCCTCAACCCTGGCAAGAACTTGGACTGATTTCTCTCTGCAGGTCTTGGAAGCTTATGGCATGATTCAGGGTATTGGCCTCAACATCTATAACCTCTACTCACCCTGCTGGGGGGCACATGGCTACCAGGGGCGTTATACTGCTGACATGAGCAACCTTTTCCGAACATACCAGTTCAATGTGGTCACCCCGGTAAGCGGTCGGTCGAGTGGGATGTGGGATGGTGAGGGCTGGACCTTGTGTCTGGAAATAACTTTTATAGATAATGCTTCTCTCCATTTTTGCAACTTGTCCAACCCATCATCTCTTGCCTGAACTACTACACTGTCCTCCTTCAGAAAATCCTACTGCCACCCTAGTTCTCCTATAGTCTCTTCTCTTTGCAGCAGCCATTTAAAACTACGCCAAGCCATAGCAACCTCAGCTCAAAACCCTCTATGGCTCTCCTTCTAGTAGGATGAAAGCCAAAGTCCTAGGGACAGTTTACCCAAGAAGCAGGGTAGGCATGGGCTTACTTGTATTTACATACTAATCTGTAGTGAACCAAGATGTGGTGATACCATGTGAAACTGTTTACTACAGATTAGTATGTATGATGCACAAGTAAGCCCATGCTTACCTTGTTACTGGGTAATCCAACAGTGCTTAACAAACAGTCCCCACGATGGCCTACAGAGCCCCACATGTCCTGGCTCCTCTCCGACCTCACCTTCTGTCACTTTCCATTCCTCCATCACTGCTCTGCTCCATCCTTCATCCCACTCCTCCTGCTTCTGCCTCAGGGCCTTTGCACGTCTTGTTCCCCTACCCAGAACCTTTTGCCACCAGATGTCTGCATGGATTCCTCCCTCATTTTATTTAAGTATCTGCTCAAATCTCTACCAGACAGGTCTTCCCCGAACAAAAATAGCTCCCCACTCCCCAGCCCTGGCACCTCTCTCCCCATTACTCCACTGCTTCATTCTTTTTCTTAGCACTTTTATGGCCAGACTTTACTTATGATTGTTTACCCCTATCCCCACCTCAATGAAATGTAATCTCAAGATAAGCAGGAACTTGGCTTTTTTACTGCTACAATAGCAGTAAATATCTGGCACCTGTTGTTGTTGTTATGTGCTGTCGAGTCCGGACCCGACTCATAGTGACCCCTCCTTGGGTTTCTGAGACAGTATCACTACGGAAGTAGATTGCCCCATCTTCCTTCCGAGGAGTGGCTGGTGGGTTTGAACCGCCAGCCTTCTGGTTAGCAGTCAAGTGCCTTAAGGACTATGCTACCAGAGCTCCTATCTGGCACCTAGGTGCACTCAATAACTATTTGTTGAATGAATGACTGCATAAATAAACTTCCTCTATGGTACAAGGTACCATATGGTAACATAGCATACCTCTATGGTAGCATAGTGGCTAAGACACTTGCCTGCTAACCAGAGGGCTGGCGGTTCAAACCCACCAGCCACTCCTCGGAAGGAAGGTTGGGCAATTCTACTTCCGTAGTGATACTGCCTCGGAAACCCAAGGAGGGGTCACTATGAGTCGGGTTTGACTCGATGGCACATAACAACAACAACAACATGGTACACGGAGGAGCTCTGATGGAGTAGTGCCTAAGGCATAGAAGGTTGGTGGTTCAAACCCACAAGCCACTCCTCAGAAGGAAGGTTGGGCAATCTACTTCCTTAGTGCTACTGCCTCGGAAACCCAAGGAGGGGTCGCTATGAGTTAGATCCAACTCAACGACAGTGAGTTTGGTTTGTATGGCACAAGGAGCCCTGGTGGCATAGTGCCTAAGGCATTTGACTGCTAACCAGAAGACTGGTGGTTCAAACCCACCAGCCACTCCTTGGAAGGAAGACAGGACAATCTACTTCTATAAAGATTTACTGCCTCCGAAACCCAACTCACTGCCCTCAAGTTGGATCTGACTCATAGCAACCCCTCCTTGGGTTTCCAAGGCAGTGTCACTGGGGAAGTAGATTGCCAACCTTCCTTCCGAGGAGTGGCTGGTGGGTTTGAACCACCAACATTCTATGCCTTAGGCACTACGCCACCAGATCAGAATAGACTCAATGGCAGTGAGTTGTTTTTTTTTTTTTTTTTAGTTTCTATGTCAGGCACTGAGTATTGTAGATACTTTATCTCATTTAATCCTCACAACAGAGGATTCTCTGAGGTGAGTAGTAGTGTTATCCTCATTTCACAGGTGAAGGAACCAAAGCTTAGAGAGGGGTGTCCTAGCCCAAGATTACACTGCAAGGGCAGAGCTGGACTATGGACCTAAGGAGTCTGACTCCAGAGCCTAGCCTGTAGCACTCAAAGGAGCTCACTCCAGCTTCCCTGGAAGCATCCTCAGTGCCCACTGTCTGCCATGTGCTTTCCATGTCAGGGCAGCCTTGGCCTGGGGATGGCATGGTTTAAGCCTGAAAGACTTGGGATGGTGGGGTGCCCACAGTGGTGGGGGCAGGCAGCTCAGGACCCCACCTGGGATGGGTGAGCCCTGGAGTCCTTAGTTGGAGATTTCGTGTGGTGCTGGCGAGGCAGACGAAGGCAGAATGACCTGGCTACCCCATGTCTCTCCATGGCCCCTTCCTGGGTCACTCTCCCTGACAACTCACTTTTGAGTACAGGGTGGAGCAGCTGCTGCTTGGAGAAGTCTCAGGACAGTTCCAGATGGAAGGCCTTAGAGATCATCCAGGCCAACTCTCCTGTTTCACAGAAGGGGACTCTGAGGCGAAGGATTTAGCCTATGTGGGAAAGGAAATGGGTGGAGTTACAGAAAGGCATCAGGGGAAGGGTGGTGGGGTTTGCATGAGAACTGAACTTCTAAAGCACTTGGGGTTGTAGAAGGCTGTGGTCTGCAGGAGGAGCCCCAACTCCATTTGGAGGCTTGACAAAAGTTTCAGATGTCATTTGGGTTCTTTCTGACCATAAAGCAGCATTGTGGCTGTGCACAGACAGGTTCCAGGACAAACCTAAAGAGGGGCAGTTTGCCTTCAGGAAGAGTATGGTTGAAAGTAGATTATACTCCCACAAGAAACTGGGGCACTTGCCTGAGAGTGTCCTTTTCTGATTTAAATTAAAGTTGAGGCCTTGGTATTGTTTAGTAGCCACCTTGTGGCTAAGACTCAAGCTACACGGTCATGAGTCACAGCTTCTCCTGACCACCACCTAGCCAGGTAGTCAAGGTCCAGATCCAACTCTGTAACCCTTTCCTATGTTCAAATACCAATTGTCTTTCCCCTGCTTCTATAGTCCCACCTGCAACAGTGACGTATCGATCTACCACCAATCATGATTTTGTGATGATTCCCTTTTTGAAAAGTCTATATATATATAATTAACCACATGGCCTGACTCAGCAGATTCCATTCAGCTTTCTCATGCTGATGGTTTCCTTCATCCAAGATGATTGTCTTTGTTTTGTCTTTGTTCTGTCCAAGGCTTAAAGAAGTGTCACCATTGAACAGACTTGAATTTAGGGTCTCTTTTCCTGTAATTCAGATTCAAAAAAAGCATCTCTATGAGATTCATCCCAAGTTTTGGGGTGTCCAGGCATGGAATGGCCCTTGAGTGGTAGAAGCTACTAGGGACCATTCCCTGGAGAAGGATAGCATGCTTGGTAAAGTGGAGGGTCAACAATAAAGGGGAAGGCCCTCAATGAGATGGACCAACACACTGGCTGCAATGATGGGCTCAGGTATAGCAGGGATTGTGAGGCTAGCACAGGACTGGGCAGTATTTCATTCTGTTGTAAACGGGTTGCTATGAGTTGGAGCCGATGTGATGGCACCCAACAACAAGTAAGCAAAGGTTGTTAGTTTGAGCCTGTCCAGCAGCACCATGGATAAAACACCTGGAGATCTACTTCTGTAAAAATTACAACCAACAAAATCTATGGAACAGTTCTACTCTGTCATACATGGGGTTGCCATGAGTTGGAATTGGCAATGGGTTTCGTTCGTTTTTTGTACATGGATTAATGACGTGAGGGCAAGAATATCTGAGGCGTTGAACCCTTGTCCCTCCAGCCTCCGGATGGTCCCATCCCTGGGGTGCCTGAGTGCATCAATGCCACTGCCATGTACGTGTGGCTGAACCGCAACGATGTGAGGCAGGCCCTCCACATCCCTGACTCCCTCCCTGCCTGGGAACTGTGCAGGTGAGCCTGAAAGGATCTGAGCAGTTCTGGTAGAGGCATGACAGCTGGGCTGTCACAGGATTGAGGGACCTTCTTGGGGTAGAAGTAGGGCAGAGTCAGCAGGGGCCAGCAGAGGCTAGTGCAAGGCTTTTGTTCACTGTTGTAATCCCAGCACCTGTAACACAGTCAAACCCATCCAAACTCATTGTTATCAAGTCAATTCTGACTCAGCAATTCTGCAGGACAAAGGAGCGCTGCCTTGTAGGGTTTCCAAGGCTGTAAATCTTTACAGGAGCAGACTGCCCCACATCTTTCTCCTTTTTATTAGCAGCCAAGCATTTAACCTGTGTGCCACCATGGTTCTTTGGAACATAGTAGGCATTCAATAAATATTTATTGAAAGAAACAGTGGCTAAGGGAGAGGTACATGTTGTAGTTGGAGGGGGCAACAGAGGTGGGAGGTCCTACAGTCCAGGACAAAAGTGTGGGAAAGAGGGCGATGCTGGGATCGTGAGGCCCACACCTAGCAGCAACTCTTTGTCTGTTGGGAGGCAGGGCTTCAAAGGGCTCCGAGGAACCCCAGTTCTCAGTTTCCCTGAGTCTCAGGGTAGATGTGGCCTGCCTGGATGGCATCAGCTGCTTCTCCCTATAGTTCCCAGGTTAGCTCTCAGTACCAGAGGCAGTACACGGACATGGCTCCTTTCTACCAAGACCTGCTGCAGTACGACATCCGTGCCCTTGTCTACAATGGGGACACCGACATGGCTTGCAACTTCCTGGGCGGGGAGAGGTTTGTGGAGGCCCTGAAGCAGCCGGTGAGGATCTGGCACCCTGAAGGGGAGGGTGGATTCCGGGAGGCCTGGGAGCAGGGGTGGAGTGGGGGTACAGATGCAGCCCACTGTACTTCCAGAAGACAGCAGCCTGGGGAGGAGTATGTGGAAGGCCCCCCAAAAAAAGAGTTAATACTGGATGCATGCTTGCCTTGGGGAAGGATTATCTGGAGCAAAAGGGCTAGTGAGATGATGAAAGACTCAGTATTCCTTCCTTGAGAACAAAGAGTGCTGAGTGATGCAAATGGTCAACGCTCTAAGCAATAGGTTGGAGGTTCAAGGCTACCCGGGGTGCCTGCAAAAGGCCTAGTGACCTACTTCTGAAAAATCAGCACAGTCCTACTTGGACACACATGTGTCACCTTAAGTCACACTGGACTAAATGGCAACAAAGAATGTGGAGACTATGTTCCTGCAGCCATCTAAAGCCTACCTGCACCAGAATCTGCCAGGAAATATAACTTTCCAAAAGAACTTTCTTAGCATTTAATGTGTACAAATCTCTCCGTCTTAAAAAAACAAAACCCTCCCCTCCTAGGGAGCTCCAGCTCTCTGCCTTCCTCCTGGACTCTACCATCTACTCCAACCTGACTTCTGCCTCTTCACTCCACAGAGATCACTCTCTCCACCGGACAAGCTGTCGCACAGCTCAAGGCCCTTGTCAATCCCCTCCCTGCTTGGCCACCCAGAGACAGGAAGAGCCCCTCAGTTCCCTCAGCTTCTTGACTCACCTGGTCTCAGTCATCCCACCTGGGGCTGCTCCTCCCTGCCCTTAACCATGATCCTGAGCACAACACACCTCAGGTCCCTGGGGCCTCTGCAAGCACACCCCTCCCCAGCAGCTCAACCTGCCTGTCAAAGACTCTAGGCCCTGAATCTCCCTGAGCTTGAGCCCATGCCCATGAGGGCCACATGACATGTCCTCTTGAGTAAATCACAGGCTCCAAAATTGAACTCACCGTCTCTACCCCCAAAACTGCTCCCCCAGGCTCCCCATGTCATCCCAAGAAAATGTACCCAGTAGCAGGCCACCCTTCATTTTTCCTCCCTCGTGTTTTACAGTCCATGATTTGCCAAAGCCTGATCATTTGACCTCCCAGAGCTCTTGAGGCCCCCATTCCTTCCATCCTGACCACCTTTTCGGGACTCTTAGCAGCTTCCTGGTTAGTCTCTAGTAACCTAACTGGGCGCCACTTGCTAGTTGCTCCACCCAACCCTTCAAAGGCTTCTCTGCAACACCCCTGACCCCAGCCCCTGGCTACCTCTCTGAGTGCCAGCCTTCTTGGTCTTTTACTTCCTCAAATATGCTTAAAGATACCTTCTCTCCAGAAGGCATCTTGGTTACAATCCACTCCCTCCTCTTCCCACTTTATATTCAAATAACTCCTACACCTTTCACGTCCTCAGGAAGTCATTGAACCCCTGGACTGGGCTGCAGGCTTCCCAAAGCCCCTCTGTGTTAACATCTGTCACAGCTGTAATTCCTTGTTGAATAGATGGCTTCTGGACTAGGCTGTGATTAACACCTACCAGCACAGGCACCTGAAGCCCAAGAATTTCTTCCTTCCTTTCGGGAACAAGGAGTCCCTGAATGGTGCCAATGGTTAACACACACGGTTGCTAAGTGAAAGGTTGGAGGTTCAAGTCCACCTAGAGGGACCTCAGAATAAAGGCCTGGTGATCTGCTTCCGTTTGGGGACTTAAGGTGCCTGTGATCCATCTAGGTGGAGTTGTCGAGTGGCCTCCACGAGACTAAAGCTCAGGACTCAGGGGCTGGAATCAATGACAGATGGGGTTGAGCTGCTGTACTGAAGTGCCTGCTTTGTTCAGAACTATGTTCCCAGCACAATAGCAGTGATTATATGTTGATGAATTAAGGTTTCTGCCCTGGTGGTAGAAGTGGGGGCTATAGGGCTGGGGGAGTTATGGGCTCAAATACCTCTAATGCTCCAGCTCTAAACCCATTTCTCTTGCCTGGCTGAGCCAACTGCTGCACAGGACATCCTGTGAATGAAAGGGTCAGCTGGCCTGAGGGCTGCTTTAAGGGGGAACCCCTTTGCAGAGGCGGTAGAGAGCACAATTGCTGAGTGACCCCCTTCTTTGGTCCCCTAGATGGTGAGCTCCTACCAACCCTGGTACTGGAACAACCAGGTGGCTGGCTTCTTTAAAGACTACAAGAAGATCTCGTTCCTTACAGTCAAGGTAGGGCTGGGGTCCCACCCACTTCTTTACCAGGACTTGTCCTGGGATGGTGATTTAGTATTCAGTGTGGACTAGGTTCTCCTGTGGGTAGGGAGAGGTTCTTCACCCTTCGGTTATGACTAAGGAGGACCCATCCTGAAAGATGTCCTGGCTTAAGATTCCAGGTTTATTCTGGGCCTGAGAGAAGCTGCCGCTCAGGGAACAAAGGACAAGAATGCAGTCAGAGGCCTTGGCTTAGAGGCTAGGGTCCTAAAAGGCTCTATCTGGATTCCCAGGTCCTATTCAAACATCACCCTAGAAAATGTTAACTCCAGAGCAGTAGTTATCCGGCACCAGAATCACCTGGAAGGCTGACTGCTGGCCACGCCCCTTCCCCCACCCTAAGCTTTTGATTCTGTAGGTTTTAGGTGGAGTCTTAAGAATTTGCTTTTCTACTAAGTCTCCAGGCACTGCTGATGCTTCTGGTCAGGAGACTACATATACTTTGAGAACCACTGCTCTAGAGAAGCATATGCCATCATGATAGCCAGTCCTCACTATTGGGCCTATCTTCTGCACAGGGCTCAGGACACATGGTGCCCCAATATCGACCTGCCCAGGCTCTGAAGATGTTTGAGAACTTCTTGAAGAACACCTCGTTCTAATGATCTTCCTCAGCTGCTGGTAGGGCTTCCCAGATCTAGGACCTCCCATCTCCCACTACCCAACCTGCTTCTCTTGGGGTGTATCACCTTCCACAAACTCCTCCTCTCCTTCCCTAGATGTTCTGTGCTGCTGTGACCAATATGGTAGAATCTGGGAGGAGACGGGAGAAGCAAAAAAGTCTCTATGGGGAGGATGGATAGTAAGCAATTTCCTGAAAGCCCCCAGAAGCTGCAGGGTTCCATCATGGGTTCTGCCCCCAAATTGCTACGTGACCTTGATGGAGTCATTAAACTCTAGCATCTTTATTCTCCTATCCACAAAATGATAGGGACAACATTCTCAGCCTTCTTTCCTGCTTCCTAAAATTGACCTCGGTGGGGTGGGGTGTGTCATTAACATGGTTGACTGCTCACTGAAAGGTTGGAAGTTTGAGTCCACCCAGAGGCACCTCGGAAGAAAGGCCTGGCAATCTACTTCTGAAAAACCAGCCATTGAAAACCCTCTGAGCAAAGTTCTACTCTGACACACATGGGGTCTCCATGAGTTGGAATCAAGTCAACGGCGACTGGGTAGAGTTGATGGGAAAGGCTGAACTTCAGCACAAAGTGCACTTTGAGAAGCTTTTTCATTGAAAGAAAACTTTGAAAACTACTTCCTCACACCTCTATTCTTTCTTTTTTAAAAAACAGATCTGCCTAGTTGTCTATTGCCTGCATCAAGATAGCAGGATCAGATATTCTGTATCATCTACAACCTATTAAAAAGAAATTTTCCCTGGAGATGGTTCTTTTAAAGAGCCATTCATTCATTCCTCCAATATTTACCAGAACATCTACTATGTGCCAAACACCAGGCAGGAGCTAATTATTAAATACTGTGAAATACAAGCAAACTTGTCAAAATGTTTCCATTTCTAGGTAGACCTGGAGTTTGTTGTGTCCTTCCTTGCACCACAGTTCACTACTCCCAAACGCAGAGCTTCCTGGGGCTACAAAGGCAGATACAGTGAAGCTTATGAGATCAAACTCAATGGGGCTGCCTTGTTTTTCCAGTCCTCCCAAGTTTTCCAGCATTGACAGGGTACAGTCACCACTTTTCTATTGCTTTTTGTTGTTGTTGTTGTTGTGTGCTGTCGAGTCGGCCCCGACTCATAGCGACCCCTCCTTGGGTTTTGGAGGCAGTATCACTACGGAAGTAGGATTGCCCAACCTTCCTTCCGAGTGCTTTTTGTTTAGTGGAAAATATTTGAGTTTTCCTTCTCTGACAGGTTTCTGCCTTATACAGGTTCTCGCTTTCACAGGTTTTACTGGACAGGGATACCCCTGAGCTCAGGGCAGTGAATGAAGATCATTAGGCTCAGATTCGGCAGTTAGAATGGGTCTCCACAGAGAGATTCCCCAACATTTTGCTCCAAAGATCTCTAATGATTATTTCCCTATGGGCTCCCAATTTTGGAAGACTTTCGCCTTCCAGATATGAACTTAGTAAGTAACAGGCACTGTAGCTTTGGGGAGATGGGGGGATGAAGGATAAACGTTTTTGTTATGCTTTTTGAAATAACTGAAAACTGCTGGCAGTCCCCCCAGTAGTACCTGAGACCCTCTGAGAGTTCAGGGACCCCAGGGCATGGGAAGTCCTTTTCACATTGGTGGGGTTGGCTCTTCAGTCTACCTTTCTGGGTACAGAGAGGAGGTGTTACTTTAAATTATATTTCCTGGAAGAGTCTGGTCAAATCACTCTCCTCCTCCATCATTTTCCAGCATTATGTTTTTTTGTTTCATGACATAGACTGCAATTCCCCACAATGTAACAGCTCTCTTCCTACTTCCTTCCTATACTTACCTCTTCCCTGTGTCCTTCATTCCCTATGTATTCCTGCTCCCTAAGCGATCTCCCTGTGCAGACATTGCCCTTCTGTTTTCCCACGACTGATCCATTGCTCTAAGGAGTATATCTACCTGATGCAAATGTTCACCCCATATTCCTGGTCTATGGTTTGGCTGGAAGGCACGGGAGTGAGTTTAGTTCCAGAACTGAAGGGTATCTAGGGGCCATAGTCTTGGGGGTCTCACCAGGCTCTATCAGACCAGTAAACCTGGTCTTTTTTTTTTTTTTTTCCAATGATTTTGAGTTTTGTTCTACATTGTTCTTCCACTCTATCCAAGATCTAGCAATGAGGTTTTTGACCCATTCATTCTGTAGGTTATAGAATTTCTATTATTATTTCTCTGTCTTTTTCTCCAAAGAGAGATTGTAAATATTTTAAAGGCAGAGGCCTCCTTTTCTCAGACTCCTAACACTTGACACTGTATTTGGAAGAGACTGGAATGTCTGGTTGACTTATAACCTAGAGAGGGAGAGATGGAGTGGTAATGGGGAGCTTGGGGGACAACCTTCTTGTCCCCTTCCCCACAGTGATGCCACCTGGAGATATGCTTCTTTTCTGTGAGAGTTTACCTCTGTAATCCCTAAGATGATGTAGAGAAGGATACTAGATAAAAGATGCTAAGCGTATGTTGGGGGCTGAGATAGTGCCCAGTGCAGGGTCTATCATACCAAATGGCTGTCTGCCAAGGCCAAGATCCTGAGTGGGAAGGATAATGACAGACACCTATCCTGGGAAGAGGATGAACAGCTGGGGCTGACAGTCCAGGCTTCTGGCAATCACTTTGAATATCAGTTTGGCACTCAAGGAGGACATGGAACACTGGAGCAGAGTCCCACCCTGTCTGGCTCTGAGTTCCCTCAGGAGCAGTCCAAGGTCTGCTCATGTCTTTAAAGTCCAGGAAGTTTTCTCAGATCTGTCCTTTTTTTGCCTGCACCCTTTTTCAGATAACTCTGAACTCACCATGAGCCAGACACACTATGTGGCCCTCCCCTTTCCCTCTCTAGTGCCTTCCTTGTTCTCTCATGAAAAGCAGCAGATGGAAAAAAGACCTTTTTAAAATAGACAGACCTTCCCACCTAATCTTGAAACAAAATTGCCTGTTAGGGAAAGAAACTAAGAATCCAAATGTAAAGTCACCTGGAAAACACCCACCACACAGCATTTTCAGAACC